CGACCAGGTGAGCCGACCATCGACGCAAAGTGTTTAATGCGGGCTGGGAAACGACATTATGACTTATTATGATTAAATTGTTGTATCGGCCTAGTCCGTCTTGTATGTTTATTTCATGAGCAATTAATGACTAAACAGACTTTTTTATTATCTGCTAGTTTCTTTTAGGATTAGAGCAAAAATAATGGCTCAACTAACAGGTGAAGGTGTATTGAATGAATGAATGAATTTTGTCTGCACAGGGGGAAACCAAATATGTAACTAGAATAAGAACATCTTATCCGTCTTCCATCTGCTACAAACCGTGCTTTCGTTTGATATTTCCATTATGATTGATTCGTTTATTGGATTTGCAAGGTGGTCAGAATGCCTAACTCTGTTCATCATATTGAATAGTGTGCTGACATATTATTGTCATTCGATACAAGCTTATTATTCGAAAGTGCAGCTTTGGAGTAGAATGTCATTGGCAGTAGATAATATACTCTAAATAAAAATTTCAAACTCTCGGTTCAAAAGTTCCAAGCTGGAATTCTAGATACCAGGAAACCAACATAAGTAGAGCCCAAAATTTCACAAAATAACCCAAGAATTACAAGACATGAGTTTGGACTCCGGTCGTTATCAAGCAGTTGCAGGCCTGATGATTTGTGAAGGCCTCTTAAAATGAATCTGCATATTTTTGAAATTTCTACTTTGCTTCTCATATAAGTACGTCTTGAGATAAGCCAGATTTGTTGGTTTTTCCTTTTTGGGTTTAAGGTTCTTTTACTTGTACTTCTAATGGTATTTTTGTCTCTCTTATGATATATGTATTATATAATTATTCTCCGCGCATTCGCAGGATACCTTGCATGTAGTTTTTGTTGTGTTTTTAAGATTTTTTTGGTTTCGTTCCAGTCAGATATTTTCTTAGTGTCAGAGTTGAGATGAAGACTGTACTGCTGACATTGTATTTTTGCCCAATTTTCTGAACCCTTTCTGAACATCCTTTGAAGTATGGGATTTCAATGTTGGTCTCTAATCCCTCTTGTTCTTGATTTTCTTTTCTGATCTTGTATATATGCGAGTTATGATGTTATGCTCTATCTTATAATAAATTGGCTGTAGTCTGAGTTAACATTTAGATATTGTCTTGTGTGTTTCAAGTGCACCTTACAACTACCTGTTTTGTTGTTTGTTGTACAACTACCTTCTATTAAGGTGATTTTACAGAAATTTTATTACTTTTTCAGGTTTAATAATCGTAACTTCAGTTGTGAGTTTCATATCAACTTCCAACTTGTTCTGCATCATCAAAAAACTCTAATTAATAAATCTTTAAAGTTTCAGGTTACTGTGATGGCTCGAAGTATTTTTCAGGAACCTTCAAGCATGACTTTACAGGAATTTTATAATTTTTTCAGGTATTAATGAGTAAAAAAAATCGTAACTTTAGTTCTGAATTTCATATCAACGACAAATTTGTTTCCTATGATGGGAAAACCCTGAATAATAAATTTGAACGAAATTTGGAATGTAGGGTAAAAGAGGTCTAAAAAAGTTGATATTCCAAATTTCAGCCTTCTCCGACCTAGCGGAGGGGTTTTAGTCCCTATCCCCCCAATTTTGAAAAGGCGCGTGTAATGGTGCATACACGTCCTGCACTTAGTTTTTCAAATTTCGAAAAACAAAAAACACCATCGGATAGAGGAGCAAAAAATACGTCGATAATGTCTCCAGGCGTTTTTCGCTCCGACGCTTCGTAAGCCCGCAAAAAAATAAAAAAGATTTGGATCCTGGACAATTTTGAAGACCTGACACGGCGCCACTTTTTCGCTTATTACTTTGGTAATTTCGAACCGATTATCTCGAATCAGATTTTATTCAAAATAAGATTGAAGTACCTACAAAATTGTTTTTTACTGACATTCCAGGTTGTTTCTGTCTCCGAGATATAAGCCGTCAAACTTGAAATTTCTCTGAAAATGTATGGAAAGTTTCGAAGTCGATTTTCTCAAAAACGGTGCCCCGTAAAGGGGTAACTCTGCTAAACTTTTTTGTAGTTCTCAATGAGATGTACAAGTTTTGTAACTGAGGTTTTTTTCTCAGGCTCTTCGTTTTCCGGCTAGGATGTTTCGAAAATTGAAAAAATAAAAATAAAGGCTGTTTTGAGTTTTTTTTTTGTCGCAACAGTCAGGGGATCCCAAATATCTCAAATGGGCTTAGTTTATTTTTTATTTTTTTTTCTTGTTTTTTTCGATTTTTATTTTTTTAAATATATGTGTTTGCCTTTACCAGGGATAGGAAACATGTGTAGAATGCATTCAACAAGATCAGGTTTCGAGGGATGAATGTATTCTTTATTTTGTTTGAGTTGATTTTTGGTAGTAAATAATGCACTTTCAAAGATGATTTCACAAGAAGTGTATGATTTTCTAAGGTACCTAACAATGAGTGAATAACTCTGTAATTTTAGTTGTGAGTTTCATATCAACTTGCAGCTTGTTTTCTATCATGGAAAAACTCTAATTAATAAATGCTGAAAGTTTCAAGTTGCTGTGATGGCTCAAAGTATTTTTCATTAAGTGAATCACCTCTGACTGACGGAACGGCCATTAAAGTGAAAAAAATAAACTCTTGTTAAAAAAATATAACCCAGAATGGACGACCATCCGTCACTCTATAAGTCCCGTCACAAAATTTCTGGAAGATACCAATATATCGTCCATGTAAGCTAATGCTGTAATGAACCTCATGGATCTCAAGATCGTATTTACAGTTCTTTGAAAAACTGCGGGTGCATTGACCAACCCAAAAGGCATTCTAAGGTATTCATACTGCCCGTCTGGTGATACGAATGCTGTTTTACGTCTCGAATGATGATAATATCCACTAGCCATATCAAGTGTAGTGAAATAATTGCAGTTTTTCAACATTTGTAAATGATCATCTACTCGTGGTAAGGGGTACGAATCTCTCACAGTTTTTGAGTTCAATTTTCTGTAAAGTCTTGTTTGGCTGTTTTTCTTTTCAACAAGCAAGACGTCTTAATTAAATCAGCTGATAACAAAGGACTAACAATTTCTCGTACGTTTTCCCGTTCGTTATATGAGAGGCGATAAGGCCTTTACGTTGCATGTTTATCATCTTTAAGATGAATAGATATTTGAAAATCTTTGATATTACCTAATTCGTGAAAGTTCTGTGCGAAACAATCACGATATTTATTTATTAATGATAAAAGTTAATGAATCATAGTTATCTATATCCTTATCAACTCCATCCTGCAACTCTGCCAACGTGAACTTTGGCAAATTTGCTTGAACAATTTTATCAACCTATACCTGTGAAAATGTCATCAAGAGCGCAGGAGCAACCTCGTGCTACTGCTCTTTTCCAAACCGAATCGTGCTGTTAGAAATATTCAAAACTGGATTTTTTGCGCTAGGCGTGGATACAACACACCTTGGAAGAATGTTTTCTTTCATAAGCTCGTATATCGCAATCTTCTTTTTTTTTTGAGTATAACCTAAAGGTGGCTCTACACAAACGATTCTTGACAGTCTGTTTTGATTTGATCCCTTTTGTTATCAATTCGCTTAGTGATTCCGTGTTTAGTTCCAATGGAAAAGATTTCAATAATTCTGCTTTTTACTGAAAACTCTGGAACGAATTTCCTTAACTAACCAGCGAGCCCAAAAATTACTCGACTTCCTTAATGCTGGATGGAGGGGAAAGCCCCATTATAGCTTGTGTTTTCAATGGACTTGGTTTAACACTACCATTAGATATTACCACAGCCTAAACACTCTACTTCTTTTTTTAAAAAGCGGCACTGGTTTATATTTATAGAAAACCCTGAATTGTCAATGTAGGTATAAGAATGTCGTCCAAATAAACAACTACGATGCCTTTTGTAATTTCGTTTTGTGGAGCTATATTTATTGCTCGTTGGAAAATTGATGGTGCATTTGTCAAACCGAAAGGCATACGTAATTATTCGAATTGACCATCTGGTGTTACAAATGCCAATTTTTCCACTAAATCTGGTACTTCAATTTGATGGAAACCTGCAGCAAGTATCGTAAAATACTTGCTATTGCTGAGTTTGTCGATTTGATCTTCTACGGGGTAGTGGAAAACGATTTTTAACTGTGTCAACGACTAAACGTGGTTTACAATTTTTCTTTCGTATTAATAGAACAGGACTGGCAAATGGTGATTGTGAAGGGCGAATGATGGAATTATGTAAAAGATCTTGCACAATATTTCTGACAATTCCCCTTTCTGCCACTAAAAGTCTATAAGGGCGGTATTTGATTTCCTTATCTGATGTGAGCCTGATTTTAAACTCACCAGTGGTAATCAGGCAAAGCACATCATTGAAGTAGAGTAGAAGAGTAGAAGAGAGATAGGTATAAGAACTAAGTAGAAGAAGGAGCTCATGCCATACACTATTATTTATACTTCAGCCAAATTGATATCTTGTAATTAAAAAAAAAAAGAATAAAAATTCTGACCTAACAGAATCTCTTTCCCAACTGTCTCGGAACATCCTAAAGACGGGGTACTTGAGGGCACTGTAAGTCATTGATACATGACCCAACCTGCAGAAGGAGCAATGAGGACAACGAGACGGCAGAACAAATGCTGTGTTATTGTCCAGCTCTCGTGAATACAAAAGAGTCTATTATGGGGGACTGGTAGCCAGTACTGCCAAACTATTGATCTAAAATTCTAACAGAAGATACAATGGGCTCACTGAAGAGACCTAAGTATCAGGCGACGCAAGTCACCCCTCCAAATCTTCTTCTACCTAATAATTGCAAGAGTTCCTCTGTATTTAAATATTATAGTTTAAGTATAGCCTCAGTTTGAAGAAGCTATACAGCGACGAAACTTGTAGTAGAATATTTCATTCAAGTTTATAATGATTTGGTATAATTCGAATTTCAATAATTGACTGTTACTTGATCAATGAAACATTTTAATCTAAAGACAATTTTCTGTTGTTTCAGGTCTGGTTCCAAAATCGACGAGCCAAATGGCGCAAACAAGAAAAAGTCGGACCGCAAGGCCACCCGTACAACCCCTACCTTAGTCCGGGCTCCAGCGCTTCAGTTCCTCCAGTAGTACCCCCATCTCTTCCCAACCCATTCAATCTACCATTCGGCTTGCGAAAACCCTTTGACACGCTTCCGTTCCGCTATCCGCCTCACATGCTTCCAGGCTACTTCCCGTCACCTCCGACGTACCACCGGAGCGGTCCTCCAATGTTACCTCCGACGGTAGGATTGTATCCTTCCGCCACATCGTTCCAGACGCTTTTAGCCAACATTTCGGCAGCGCAAAGACCGAAACAGGAATTCGCTCCGTCGCCTCCACCTTTGTCTCCGGGAAGTTCTACGGGTGCAGCTCCACCTGTTCCAGCTCCGGATGTAGATAGGAGAAGTTCTAGTATTGCCTCGTTACGATTGAAAGCTAGGGAGCACGAGTTGAGACTGGAAATGTTAAGACAAAGTGGGGATTTGATAAGTTAGTGTTTTGTTTCAACGAAGTTTTAAGTATGGATTCTTATTGCTCCAGAATGTTTAATGTTCTCGTCTCGGCAATTATGTAGATTGCCAATTATTGAGTCTTTTGAAGTAGGTAACCTATAATATAGATAGGACAATTTTAGCCCAATATATTTTGAATTATCAAAATTGTATCTTTATTCATTAGCTAGAAACTCAACTCAACCTATTGATTGCCCAATAATTGAACTATTGCAACGATTGAAATGTTTGTAACTTAAGTTTTTAATTACTTATTTATTGTTTTAATATAAAAATTGAATTTTTCGTGTTATAAGTAGGTATACTCTGTCTAACCAAAGTTGAACGTTGAAGATCACTTGCTCATCCTTGTAACCATAGGATTCACACGTTCGGACCTATTTTGGTTTGATAAACACAGTGCGCGTGCAATAAAGACAGCAGCAAAAAGCAAGGTCTGTGATATATTCGAGTAAGTGACCTTCAACGTTCAACTTTGGTTAGAATTTAGTTGATTAAAGTATGTAAAAAGTATTATTTTTTTGTAAGGAATATAACGCGTTGTAAATAGTTTTTTTTATTATAAATATATAGCTAATAATAGTAATTAGGATATCACTAGAAATTTTAGTAGGTATATAATAGCTATACAGTGTGTTGGAAGATTATGTACGATGTATAGTAGGGATTTAGGGTAAAAGATCAGCAATTTGCGATGCACTGTATATATAAATTATTGTTATAGTGAAATTATTGCAATATAGCTGTGAGATTGAAATAAATCCGTCCAAATTTATACACACATAATTATCATGTTGAATAAAGAGATATTTTAAAGTATATTTTGTTTATATATTTTAATATTTAACTTCTTCAGAATTTCTGCGTAACCATGTACCTACACATCAAAAAACTATTACAACTACAGCTACAACTAGAGTTCCTGACTATTCTGAACAGCAAATAATCATAGTCATAGTGATAAACAGCTAGGTACTTGAAATATGCCTGAGGAAATTTATCTGTAGGTAGGTACTTGTTTTATACTATGTATAGTAGTAAGTAGAATAAGGGTTTTATGCATATGAAAAACATTCAAAATGAGTCCCAACATGAGCTCAGTAAAGTGTCTCAAGAGAGAGAACATTGGAGAACTCCCCAGTATGCACTTGATGTAACAATACAACAAAGGGCCCTGTTCAAAGTATACAGAAATTGTGTTGATGTCAGAATTGGCTGAATTTTGTATGTAATGTAGATCACGCCTTTCTGATTAAAAGTTATTATCGCACTAATCCTAAAAAAATACTATACGTAGCAGCACACCACTGCGCCACAAGCTTACATATTCGTGTTACATTGTATGTACTTGAACAATAACTTATTATATAAAGTCAGAATTTGTAAGATTATCCACTTTTTGTCAATTTGCCTTTCAACAAGAATTAGTAATGTTACTTTACCAAAATAGTAACATAATGTGACAAGTTATTCAAGTAGAAACGAGTGGATTGTTGCGGAATTTATGGGTGGACCACTGCGGGACGAGCGCAGCGAGTTCCGCAGTCATTTATTCATTAATACGTTGTTCAAGTACGATACTAACCTGACTCACTCAAATGTCAGTTATTTTCATTAGTTCAAAAACTACAAGTTTCAGGTGAGTGTCTTATTTGAATAGTTCAACAATATATTGGTGAGTAGATGGCTGTGGGACGAGCGCAGCGAGTTCCGCAGCGCAGAGGTCCACCCATAAGTTCCGCAATAATCCACTTATTTGTACTTGAACAATAACTTATTATATAAAGTCAAAATTTGTAAGATTGGGATTATTCACTTTTTGTCAATTTGCCTTTCAACAAGAATTAGTAATGTTACTTTACCAAACTAGTAATATAATGTGACAAGTTATTCAAGTATAAATGAGTGAATTGTTGCGGAACTTATGGGTGGACCTCTGCCATCTATTCATCAATATGTTGTTTAATTACGATACTAAAGTGACTGACTCAAATGTGCGTTATTCTCATTAGTTTAAAAATTACACGTTTTAGTTGAATGTCTTACTTGAACAGTTCAACAGTATATGGGTGTTTAGATGGCTGCGGAACTCGCTGCGCTCGTCCCGCAGAGGCCCACCCATAGGTTCCGCAACAATCCACTTATTTGTACTTGAACAATAAGTTATTATATAAAGTCAAAATTTGGAAGAATAGGATTATTCACTTTTTGTCAATTTGCCTTTCAACAGGAATTAGTAATGTTACTTTACCAAACTAGTTACATAATGTAACAAGTTATTCTAGTACAAATGAGTGAATTGTTGCCGAATTTATGGGTGGACCTATGCGGGACGAGCGCAGCAAGTTCCGCAGCCATCTATTCATCAATATGTTATTTAATTACGATACTAAACTGACTCATTCAAATGTGCGTTATTCTCATTAGTTTAAAAATTACACGTTTTAGGTGAATGTCTTACTTGAACAGTTCAACAGTATATTGGTGATTAGATGACTGCGGAACTCGCTGCGCTCGTCCCGCAGAGGTACACTCATAAGTTCCGCAACAATCCACTTATTTGTACTTGAACAATAACTTATTATATAAAATCAGAATTTGTAAGATTATCCACTTTTTGTCTATTTGCCTTTCAACAGGAATTAGTAATGTTACTTTACCAAACTAGTAATATATTGTGACAAGTTATTCAAGTACAAACGAGAGGATTAATGCGGAACTTATGAGTGGACCCAGCCATCTATTCACCAATATGTTGTTCAAGTACAATACTAACCTGAATTTACTCAGTTGTGAATTTTTCTCATCAGTTCAAAAACTATGCGTTTCATGTGAGTGTCTTATTTGAACAGTTCAACAGTTTATTGGTGAGTAGATGGCTGCGGAACTCGCTGCGCTCGTCCCGCAGAGGTCCACCCATAAGTTCCGCAATAATCCACTTATTTGTATGTACGTTCATTACAATGTCCAAGCGTTTTACTTGAACTTATTTTCTCATCATTTTTCAGGATTGGTGCAATGGTAACTTTTAATCAGGAAGGCGTATTCTACATTATATACAAAATTCTGACATAAACACAATTTCCGTATACTTTGGGCAGGGTCCTTTGCATGGGGACCCAAGAAAAGAGATGAGACCAAGGTAGAACCAAAATCTCCCAACGTATCGACCAATGAACGACGTTATGGTCATCCAACATGTAATGAAAGTTTTGAGAGGCTAAAAATTTACACGTTGAGATATTTAGTACCATGCCCTACTACACAAGGACGCTCAGCTAACCAGATCATCCTAATCTTAAAATAATATACAAATGTGTTGATCACGTTTAATATCTCCCATGTCGTCAGTAAAAAGATAAAATACTTGATCCGAAACAATCCAGCACTTCTTCCATAAACGAATTAAAGATCAAGGAACCGACGTGAGAACCCGTAGAGAACGCTACTACCTTGTTTGGGAATTAGGCACCCAAGAGACCGTAATCTCAGGAGACTCGAAATTATTCACTCGGATCACTTGGCGGCAATTTCTCAATAGAAAGCCGAAAAGTCCAAAGACCCAATAACATCCGATGATCCATCCTTTCAAGGGCCTTGAAAAAATCGGTGTTGACAGATTGGACTTCAGATCCGTTCTTCAAAACCTCGTATATCAAACTGCTCAACAAACATTGTCCTGCAATATTCAGGAAAGACATCCTGTTTGAGAGACACATTAAAAATGTTATAAAGTGGTCTACCAAAAACAAAGCCGAAGCTTTTGAGCAGCTGGAGGGGAGACTGTGTATATTTCATCTGCTTCACTTGATAGGAATTCTTTTTTATAGAACATCTTTGGCAATTTCAATTTAAAGGATCGAGAAAGATAATTGAACAATTTGAACAAGTGAATTCGGATCCAATAATATGATACATTAATCCTTGAAAAGTAGCCGGTGCAGAATGTGATCCAAATGGCATAACTCGGAATTGAAATAATCCAAGGCCTGGTACTGTAGAGGCGGTTATCGGTTTGCTATCATCGGCCAGCAAAACTTGCCAGTAGCCCTGTTTGAGATGCTTGAAATGTAACGTAAAGCTAAAGGAACATCAGAAATATCTGTATGTATATTGAATAGTTCAAGGCCATTCTGTGTTGAATAATTTGAAAGATCTTCCAAGAAGAGATATATTTATTCTAAAACAAGAAGCAACTAAAAACAAAAAAGTGAAACTTTCAATATAAAGAGACTGTACTGTACTATACAGAAGACTGTTGATACATAACCCATGATTTTTTTCCATTCTTCACTTACCGAGACATCGTAAAACAATTTTTAAACATATCATTATATTAATTTGAGATAAGGATAATTATAATCATAAACGCTTGTAATTAAAGAGAATAGTAGGCTCTCGTTCAGCAGATCTTAATATGATAAAAGGATCCTTTAATTGGGAACGCTATTTTATGGAAGTAGGAACGCCTGAATAAGAAAAAAAAGCATTGAAAAGATCAACGTTGTTAGCTGAGCACTGACTAACTATATTAGCGTCATAAATTATGGTTTCTGCAGCTTTTTTTTTTCTTCGATGCTTAATGGAAACGCTCGCCGCCGAGGCCTCCGCGCTTACCAAACCCGGTTATTAGTGAATTATAAACGCGGCCAGCGGGTAATTTGAACTTCCGAGGGATGATATCAAGCATTTTGGGAAAAATATCGCTAAGATCTGGTGTCACTTGTTTATCTGAATTATAAATGAGTTTGGATCACCTTGAAAAACAAAGAAAATAAGTATATCTTTTTACTGGAAGAAGTTGATTTAGGTGACGAAGGAATTATTGATGAAGTGGTTGCAGATTCTAGTTTTATTGATAAATTGATGATTAAATGCTGATTCCCTCGATTATATCCTAATGATAATTCACTTAAATCCGTCTAAGCTTGACGGTAACGTTTAGGTGGTCATAATGAGAATGATTTTCTACCAGACTCTATAAGGATCTATCTAATTTCGCTGATCGGTATCAAGAAATGCAACTTTCTCAAAAATGCTCAAATGCAGATGAGAATCATTGTCCGCTAACTGTGGTTATGTATTCAACAAATCTAGCTTTTGATAGTCTCATTCTAAACTACACCGAAATTAATTCGAAGTCATAATAATAGATGCTCTATGTTCACAAAGACTAGCTGGCTAGTCTTTGAGATTCAAGAAAAAACAACTATTCACTGTATTAAATTCTACGTTTTTTGTATTTATTTCTAGTTTTCAAATAATTTCATCCGTAAAAAGATAGGTACTTACCTAGGTAAACATTTTTCACCAGTTAAATGAGGCAAAAACTTGTAAAACGATAGCCCTCCTAGGTGGTATAATACCTTTGTTGAAAGGATCGGCATCGACCTTAAAAGGAGGCGGCATTCTTGAAAATGCGAATTAGCTTATGGTTGATTTAATTAACACTTAATTTATTAATGGCCTTTGCCAATGTACCGCTCATACGCGTCTTTAAATTTCTCAAATGGAGCAAAACGTTTCTGAAGATAATACATACCTACGTGAATTTGATGCTTTATTTGTGTAATAATATAGAGCATGCTCTATTCTCTATTTGTTTTTATTTTTTTCTATTTTTCCATGTTTTATAACTACTAAAATTTCTTCTATATTCTTAAATCTCTTTTTCTCTGTACATTTATTCTTTTTATATTCTAATGATGAATGAAGGAGATCATCTACATCATGATGAGTTTTGTCTGATGTTACGTCATCATGATTTTTCATCCAATAGGAATGTGCTTTCTAGGACGTCTTGA